ACCAGAATTGCTCTTAAAAGTACCCAAAATTTTGCACTATTTTCTACTTTATTCCCACTATACCTATTGCCATATTGCATCATGATTTTACTAAATTTTTAGCTATTGTTTACCTACTCTAAAACCCTTTTTTATTGCTTTATTTTTATTGTTGCTTTTTTGCTTAAATGTTGCCCATTTTTGCCCAATTTTAGCTTGTGTTCCACCCTGTTTTGCTGTTGTTTTTTTCCCTAAAAAGCCCTGCTATTTAAGGCTTATTCTAAACATTTTGGGATTGTTTTAAACGATAGAAGCCCCCACCTTGTTGCCCAAAATTTTTGCTATGTTTAGGATAGTTTTGAGCTCGGTTTCTCACATTTTTTTACCTTATTTTGTCTAGAAAATCTGTTTGTGATACTTGCTGTTTTGTGTGTTTTTTTGGAGTTATTTTAAGCCTATTCTAAGTATTTATTTGATGTGACATAGGTTCTAAATCAGCTTCACGGCCTTGAGATGTTGAATTCTTGCTTGTTATTTACCTACAAGGTAAGGTAAGTAAAACTATGGTAAATGTCCTTGGATTTTAAAATAAATGTTCTAAAAGCATAATTTTGAACTGTTTTTGAAGTGGTGGTGGGATTAACTCTATTTTACACAAAAATGAGCATGATTTGTTTAAAATGACGTGTTATCATTTATTGATTTGAGCATACTTACTTGGAGTTTACTGAACTATTTTGATAACCTAAAATTGGTTTGTAAATTATGGATTTTCCTATAACTCCTGCTTGGTTTAGTCTCCAATATAGTCATGTTTTATTGTGTCCACTAGTGGTAGGTTTATAAATGCTAGCACATGTTGACATGTATTCTTGGAAACTGGTTTGTCATGTTATTCCTACTAGTGGGATGGTACACTAGTTATTACGGTGCCCTCTAGTGGGAGGTTTATAAACGTTGGCCATGACTTATAGAAGAGATGTCTATTTCATTCTCGTACTTGTACCCCCTTTTCTTGATATTTGATTACACTTGTTGGCATGCTATAATTTTAATTAAGGGCTATCTATATTTTTACTTATTTAGTTATTTCACATAGTTTTTTCTCATCCATCATTTTAGGTAGTGAGACCTGAGACATGGGAAACCAAGGAGAGTAACGAGCTAGAAGGTTAGCCATTCGTATTTTGGACATAGATTTGGAGATATAGATCATTCTTTTGTAAGTTAGATTTTGTTTTGAGATATTGATCTAAGTTTATGTGGATTGTTAGTTATGAATTTATCAAGTTTTGAGCCTTGTGTATTTATGGGATCCTCTCACAAGTGTACGACATTTATTTCACTCCTGTTTTGAGGTGTGACAATGTTAAAACAAATGGCCCTTAACTTATAACTAGGGAAAAATTTATAAAAAAATTGTTACAATAACCTATTTGAGTTAGGGGTTCTCCCCCATTAGACGATTCCTATTTAAAAAATATATTGGGCCCTTCACTCAATATCAAGGGATCCAACCCTATTAAACAGTTAATATTTTATCTTAACTATAAATTACTTTTTTGTAATTATAATATAAAAATGTTAATTAAAATTATAATAATAGATAATAAATGTTGGCCCTACAATCTTGATATTGTTCTTATTAACTCAAATTGCTTTTGACGACAAAACAATCTTTCACAACAACAACAATAATAATAATAATAACATTATTGGAGTGTTTGGATTGGTTGTTTTAAGATAGTTGATAGTTTAGTTAATATTCAATAGTTGATCACTATTGTTGTTTATGATCTAAAATATTTAAATCATTTGATTAAGAGTAATAACTGATAGTTGTTTTATAATCTTTAAAACAAACACTCTTATAAAAATAATCTCAAAACTTTAATGGTTCGATGAATGAGGTCTCTGATTAAAATACAAAAGTTAAGACTCCATAATTTTGAGAGCTTACATTTTTAAGGTGGTGAATTCAGGCCAAATAGGTGGTATTAACAATTTTTCTACAAAATTTTTCCTAGTTATATGGGTTAAGGGGCTTTTTTTTTTTTTCTTTTTTTAAATGTTGGTTGCATAATGGGAGTTAATCTTCTCCCATTCCTCATCTTATCCTATTTGTATACTATGTGACTTAAAATCAAGATCCCTTACCATTAGTAAAAAGAGATTACCATTAAGGTATTTAGGTTGTTGACATTAAGGAGAATTTGTTTTAACCTTTTAAAAATAATTATTAATTATTAATTTTAATCAAATAATTTTAGCCTATTAATATTTAATTATTGTGGGTCTCGCCAAAGTCCAATTGTTAAAAAAAGAGGGGGTTGGATATTTGATGGTTGATGTTAACAGTCAAGTAAATTATTCGGTTACCTCAAAATTGAACGGAACTTGTACGGAGGGATGGCATTGATACCTTTCACAATAGTAAGGGGAGGACATGCGTAGTTAATTAATAGTAAAGGGAAGGCATGAGGCAAATTAAAAGTAGAAGGTTTAAATTGAACTTTTTTTGATAGTAGAGAGATGATAGTTGACATTAACCCTAAAATATTTCAAAATAATTTACTATGCAAAACTTTGATTAATTTTAACAAAAAATAACATAAAGTTAATCAAAATTAAAGCAAAATAGTCATAGCCAGCAAAACAATTCATTATAGACTATGCAAACTGTTAAAACATGTCAATAATTATGGTTTTATCTCTAAAATTAGTTTTATCTTTAAATTAATTTAAAGGAATAAAAATTTACAAAAAATATAATTGAAAATTAATTTAACCAAATGAAATAAAATTGCTGTTAGAAAATTAATATATTAAACTAAATTGAATTAAAAGTAAAAAATAGTAGATAAATTTAATTGCATCTAAAGATAATAAATAAAATACCAAAAAATATAAAATTTAGTAGATTATTTATTAAATTAAGTAATTGAGGGCTAAATCTTTATCAAAAAAGAAAAGAAAAGAATGAGGGCTAAATCGAAACAAAATAAAAAGAGTAGTACGAAATGTGTGATTTCCCAAAATTACAATTACAAGGAGGAGGGGATTCTGGAATTCTCTGCGTTAACCTCTCCTCGCCTTTGTTGAAAAAACGACACACGTAAGTATCAATGACCAATAAAATCATGACACGTAACCAATCCCACTGTACCTGACCTCACCTAAACCCATCCCCTCACACTCTCACCCCCTTGAACAACATCATTCATTTTATTTCACAAAGATCTACAAACTATCCCTCTTTCTTTCTCTTGTTCTCAAAGAAACTGAACGCCCTCTCTTCTCCGATTCCGATCATGGCCGACGCCGTCGAACCATCAACGTCGGCGCGAGACACGAATCCGAGCACCGTGATCCATCCACGGCGGGAGCCTTTTGAGCACGGCCTTCTTCCGATTCCAAAGCTTATCTTCACCGACCCTATCCAAGCTCTAACTCCTCTCAAGCAGAAACTCGCGTCATCCTCGTCCTCGAGTCACCGAGTCGACTTGGCCGCGCTCGTGGACGCCCTCCAGATCTCGCCGGACCATGCGCGCCTCGTCCTTGACACCATCGCGTCTGTCCTCCACTCTGAATCTGACCCTCTCGTTAGGGCTGGCCCTGCCGAGGTTGATTCTGTCGGTGCTGATTTGCGTGATCTGATACTGTTTCTTTATATTCAGTCGTATAAGAAGCTTTTACCCCGCTCGCATAAGGACGCGGCCTCTGTGGCTGATGTATGGCCATCCACGTCTGCATTCGATGGTTACTTGTCGGCACTCTCGCCTTTGCAGGTGAGAATTTTAATCAATTTGATGACATTTCGGGTGAATGCTGATAACTGCTTGAATTGAGACGTGGTTGCTGTCTTGTTGATAATTGCAAGCATTTGAATTACAGTTTATGGATTGATTTAGATTAATAGTGCTATTCATTTGCATTTCCTTGAAAGTTTTGGTTAGTTATCTGCACTGAAGTGTCTATATGGAATGCATTTAAGGGACAAACTGTGTTTTACCGTCAATATTGGTGACTTAAAAGTTTAGATTATTGGGATCATACTGTGGCTCTTGGCATTCAGTGTGTACAACTGTAGGATTTGATTGCTTGTGTGCTTATTGCACTATCCCTCGTTTGGGATAATGGGGATGTTTGTATTGAAGAGGAATCCTATTATAGTGTTTCAATCCATTGGTTTTGATTGTTTGGATGGTAGAGTTCTCCAAAATATGATTAATGTGACCAAGATTATATTAATGGGATGAGATTTTACTTTTTAAATTTCGTTAGTGTTGATCTTAGCAGCTTAGATAGAAGTTGCTATCTATGTTAAATTCCTTCTTTTCTGAATACAGTTAAATTTGTCCTTAATTTGGATTCCATATCCCTGAACATTTTTATTTTCCAATAATTTCACATGTTTGTGTTTTGATGAGTGAATATTAGAAATTTTGATTTGAAGGGTATTTACTTATAGCAAGTTAGACTTAATAATGGAATTTGCAACACATTGCAGTTTGTTCGTAGCAATAGCCGCCGGTCTACGCCATCACAGGCTGATGAGGAGGCTCATCAGTTATCCTACCTGCAAAAGCACTTGGCTAACATTCTCTCTCTTTTGGCAGAGCCTGTGGAGGGGGAGGGGGAAGAGTCCCTGGTTTGTAATCTTGCTTCCTGTTATCCATAGTTTGATAAAGTTTCCAGGTTTATAAGCAGCAGATGTCACTTCTTTCTCTGGCTAGTTTTTTCTTGATGTCAGTTTCATAGCTGTTGCTGGCGAAAATTTAATTAGTTTGGAATTAGTTTAAATCAAAGAGGCTTCTTGACCTTCTTTCTTCTGTCTCAGTTAGTTTTTTGTGTGATTTAACTTACTAAAGCCAATGCAACTCGAAGCTGAATTATAGTGAGTAGATGATGTTAATTCGTCATTCTTAGAATGTGTTCTTGTAATTTGGTGTCATACTCCTTGGCAGCTCAACAATGTGAATTATTGTTGTGCCATTGTACACTTGTTTAGCTTATGTTTCAGAATAGTGTCTTTGTACTGGCTTCAATTTGCTCAAAAAGAATTCACATTGTTACAGGTTCTAACCATGGAAGGATTTGAACACCTTGGGTTTCTGCTTCAATTTGGTGATAGGGGATCTGAAGTAATTCCTTTAAGCCAAGCTGCTCCATTTTTTGCAAATTCAGATCCAGACATGCCAGCTGTTCCTGTTCCTGCTGCACAAGCTCATGATTGGCTTCTACAGAATATAGCTTCTGCTTTGGAACGTATTACTGAAAGAATTTCTGCAAAAGAAAATGGGCCTTTGAGTGGGTCTGATCAGGATGTTGCTATGGCCGATGCTTGTCCAAGTGCAGTCAAGGCCTTACCAAGTTCTAGGGGTCCGTGTTTGATTGAGGGGATCTCCAAATCATCCTATGTAAAGCAATCACCTGATCTTAAAGGTTCTTCTGTGAAGGTTAGCTTGAACTTATTTGTCTTCACTGCCAGTAGCATAGTTTGCGTTTGCATTTATCATTTCTATGAAGCATTGTCTCTGTGCCAAAACTTGCTTTGTCAAAGCTCTATAGACTAACTAATCATAATTCAATATCTATGGCTTAGTTAATGGATTGACTAATTGAGTGAGGAGCAATACTTGTCTACTTGAATTCACTAAATATGTAGTTGATTGACAGTTTAAAAGCATCCAAATGTAAGTTAGAGACACGGATGTTGTCATTTTTGGTGCCAGGGCATGTTTGATGGGATTTATAATGTCATTAAATTGGGTTTGCCATGCATTCTATTAACATGTGATGTCATACGATGTTAATAAACAACCTGAATGCATAATGTTTTCTTTTGGATTATGATCACATGCTTGTTACGTCTTTAACTACTTTTACTTAGTACTACCACATGGAATATGTCAAAATGTAAATCAGATTTGCCATATTTAAGCAGTATGCCTATTGAGATGGACATTTATTACATGCATGTTTGGCAGATGAGATGAAGATTCTGTTACCATGCTTTTTCAGAATTTTACACTCCAAAATTCGAGACTCAAGATGCTTGCCTCTACACAGCGCCTTTTTTTGTCAAGAGAGAATGCTGTTTAACCTTATCTTAGAGCCTGGAGATTTAAATTTAAAGATTAAATAGTTTGCATTCATTTGGAATCATTAATTAGTTACCTAGGAACAAAACAACTTGAGATTTGTAGAAAGAGCTGCCTGCCTGCTATTGATTTGGCACTATGGAACAACAAGAGGGAGAACATGCTGATCTACTTGGTGTTAGTTCAAACAATAAACCATTCTAAAAGTCTCACTATTTCAATTCTGTAAAATTTGATCTTTTACCTGGTTTCTGTGTAATTGAAATGGTTGGGATGGAGTGAGGTGAGGTGGCAGTGTCTTGAACTTAGGAACCTCATCTTTTAGGAAAGGTATCTTTAGTCTGCACCTCAATCATAATTTGCATTGAAGGCTTGGGATTGTTGGCTGTTAAGAGTAAAGAGTGCTTTTGGTTATGGTATATTTCTAACTTTAAACTTGATGTTTCTAATGGCAGGTGATTAATTGCCATGATTCTGTTATTTACATTTTAGCGCCTATGAGATACGCCACTGTCTATGGATGCTCTGATACTACTATAGTTCTTGGAGCTGTTGGGAAGGTATTATTGGCATCCAATTTTTTATGACAAAAAATCTTACTATTTCATTTCTGAAAAATAGAACTGTTGTGTGGTTAGTGTGTATTTCTTCTGTTGATTTATGTCATACATTATTAATTTACAAATTGGTTATGATTGCTTTTTCTGCAAAATTTGCTTTGTGGAAGTTTATCATTCTGTGTTGTTTGATTTCTCCATATTTGCAATAAATATATGAATTTTGGTGGAACTAGTGCAAGCACAAACAATGTCCATTTAATCAGCTGCATTATATATGAACTAACTAGAACATTGTAACCAACATTTATGGTTTGATTTCTATCCGAAATAAATGCTTTTTACATGTCCACATAAAGTCATTTTATTAATTGATGGTGCTATTTTGAGTGTTATGATTTTCCTCTGGTAATTGTAATATTACCCTCTGGCACCAGTTTCTTCTACGAGATGAGGCACTTTATATGCCTCTTCACCCCATTTCCTTGCCTTCGTCCTTTTCTCTTCCCTTTTGGGTGGCATGGTAGAGTACCATCTTCATTACTTGTTTCACAATTGTAATAAACTTGTCTGCTGTCAACTCATTTTTATATGACTTTTGCATCTTATATAGGCTGTAAGAGTGGAACATTGTGAACGTGTTCATGTGATTACAGCAGCAAAACGAGTTTGCATTGCCAATTGTCGAGAATGTGTGTTCTTCTTGGGAGTAAACCAGCGACCACTTATGGTTGGTGATAACCATAAGCTACAAGTGAGTGCATCCTTATTGAATATTGACAGTCAGTTTGGTATTAAGCACTGAATGGGTTCTTAAGATCTGGTTATGCTAATAAAATAGACATAGATTTTCATGCCTAAATTGCCTGTAATACCTTGTTCACAATTTTAGGTGAAAATTTTGATGTTCTTTATTAAAGGACTCTACTCCTAATGATAATTATAGTACAAAGAAAAGTGATTTGAGCACTAATTGGCAAAAAAAGAGTATTGCTTTGCAGCCAAGTTTTGTTTATTTAACCATATTGTTTTGCATTTGGCTGATGGTATCTTTGTGGTGCCCTCTGCAAGTGGGTAATTATGTGCAGAGAAGACAAATGTAACATGCATACTTGGTGCTGTTATGTTGAATAGTTTGTCAAAGAAGTAAGCATATCTTTAGTGCAGAGGATGATTAACAGTAGTGGGACTTTCTTGTATTTCATCAGGTGGCACCGTATAACACATTTTACCCTCGGTTGGAGGCAGACATGACTGAAGTTGGCATTGAGGCAAATATCAACAGATGGGATGAACCTTTGGCACTGGGAGTGGTTGATCCACATGATTCTTTGTCTCATCCTGCAGGGGTCTCAGATGCTCAAGCTGAGTCAGCTGCACGCGTAGACCCTGATCAATTTACTAATTTTCTGGTGTGATTTGCAGCGTAGCTTGTGTATTTTTTACCTTTCTGTCCTCTTTTAATTAGAAAAAAAAAAAAAAATTGATGGACTGATTGTGTTCATATCTGACATGCATTTTCTGATGATGATTAGATTCCAAACTGGTTTGAAGGTGCAGAGCCTGGGTCTACAAAAGATAACCCATTTCCACTGCCAGATCTGTATTTGGCATCTCAGCAAAGAAATGTATATGCTCCTAACTATGTGATTCAGTTAATAGAATTTGTTTTTTTGTTCTATGCATTTCTGAAGCAAAGATCAATATATTGTGCTTTTTTTAAAATAATTTATTTTTACTTTTTATTTTTCTGGACTTTGGTTTGCTGATTCCCCTCTAAATCATCTTGCAGCAAAAGAATTTAGAAGAGATAAAGCAGATGTTGAGGGAAGCACCAATTGAAGAAAATCGAAAAAAAGAATTGTCATCTGCCCTCCACGTATACTTCAAAGACTGGTTGTATGGTAATTATCCATTTTTTCTGTATAATTTGTTTCTATATTACATTCATAAGTGGTGTTTTATTGAATCTCTTTCTAAGTTTTGCTGTATTCTTATTTATTTTGACCTTCAGACTAGTGTCCTCAAGAATTCAATATATAACAATTAAGTGTTTATGGCTTTGTTTTTCTGTAATCATATGACAGCTTCGGGAAATATCCGTCAGCTTTACTGTCTACAAGGTGAATGATGCTCAATGGTGAGACTCTGCATGTTGAACTGTAGCATATAAGGAAGCTTTTTGGTTTTTCTTCCTTTTTTCGATCCATGCCAAGTTCCTCTAGCAATTTCTGTGGGTACTACAGGCAGCCGAGAATCACCCCCATGTACTTCGGATATGGTACAAAATTTTTCTGGATTGACACTGGTGCACAGAATGCCATCGGAGAAATATTTGCTAATCTTAATGTAATATTTTTTGAATGAACAGAAGGAAATAATCTCATTGTAATATTTATTAATCTAGGTCTGCAATCTTGTGAGTTTCACATCCCACGATCTAGCTTATGTTAGATTTAAATTTTGAGAACCTCTTTTTGTTCGTTTTGACCATAAGGTGGTTGTTAGAGTGAACTTGTTTCTAATCTCTGTCTGGAATTTGATGTTATTTGATCTTAAGGTAAGATTCGAAAAAAGAATCTACATTTTATTCCCCATTTCATCATAGCATGAAATATTCAATTTCACGGTGTTGTTTTCTTAGTATTCTATTCTTTTCTATGTTGTACATTCGAAAGTCTTTAGTGTGGAGTTCTAATTTTTGAAGTTACAGATTCCCCAATTCTCATTTCCTTCAAGAAGGCCAATTCCTGTACCATCCTGCCCAAGCAGAGACCAACCCACTTATTCCCAGGGTCACGGTATGGTTGCAGAACGGATTCGGCTCTATATCAGCCACCGCAATGATCAAATCCGCCACATTGGCCGCCACCGCCATCAGCCTCATCACTCTATCAGCTCTGATCTTCCTTATACTCTCCTTCACATCATTTGAATCTTCTTCTTTTAGGGCAACTAGTTTCCTCTCTGTCTCCAACCCTTCTTTCATAATAATAAAATCAGATATAATGAAGAAAATATATCCAAAAGACTCACCAAATGCAGATACAAAACTCATCCTCCTTGCTAGCTTAGGATCTAAAGTACCAATTCTTGATAACCAAAGAAAATGGTCGAAAAAGAAGTAGATCATTTCCCCTGCGTTGGCAAGAACAGCTAGGAATCTGAAAGTTAGGGTTGAGCCTGGGGTTCGTCTGAGGGCGTTGAAGCCGGTGAGGAACCTGTTGGAAAATGGTAATTCACAATTTTAGATAGTTATCAAAAATTTATTCTAAAATATAGTATTAGAGCTAGACGAATCATAAAAATTCACACTGAACCTGCCGGTTCTGAAGGCTTTTCTGCTGAGGCCGGAGGCCACCTCCCATTGCTTGAATCTTTGGGCAATTTCCGGGTGTGTCGATTCTGCATGCCAATGAACAAGCTTGGATACATATTGAAAGGTCTTCACCAGTTTGTCAATACCATCTCTCTTGGCTAGGAAGATCACAAGCTTGTCTACTGTATCATTCATTTCTGAAGTAGTGAAGTTGATGAGGTTTTGGGTATGGAGGGCTCACTGGGTTCATTCTGGGGGATAGTGTTCAGCTGTTTGTTTAACAATTAAATGAGGGCCAGAGAAATTATGGATTGTTTTTTTTCCCTTTTCCCTGGATAAATTGTGTGAGGTATGTTTTGTGTTTGGGCCTGCTTGGCTAAATCGGACCAGCAGTTCCTTAGGCCAAGAGGACCCCATTTTGTCTTTTGCCTAATATTGTCTCCATTGCCTTTCAGCATGGTGAAAATTTCCCCTAGTGTTTGTATTATTGCAGTCCGGACTAGAAATACTTGATAAAGATCAACCTTTACATTTAAGGGTTGTCTTTATTCAATAATTTAAGTTATGTAAAACTATTGGATGTAGAATAACTTTCACAGTTAAGGATATGTTTGGCTTGATGAAAGGAAAAGGAGAGACAATTTCTTTATTTGATTATTAAAAAAATTAGAAAATATGGGAGGTTTGGGGAGAGAAGTCCTTTACTTTTGATTTTTAATTTCTTCACTTATCCAAATAAAATAAGAGAATAAGACCTTCCGTTGTTCCTTTTAAACTAAACATATTTCAAAAGTCTTTTTTTAGTTAATAATTTAAGTTGTATAATTTAATACAATTTAAATTGCATAAAATATTTCTATTATCTATTCATTCATTCGCTTCATTGCATATCATACTATTCAAACCCAGAATTGGTTAAATTGTTGGCATATACCCAATAAGTTCAGTTTACATGTATCAAGATTTTCTGAGTAATAATGTCCTGAATAGCATGACCAAGAAATTGAGAATATTTAAAAAAATAAATACAAGCAGCACGCTCATGCTCATGCATCCAAAAGTTTTAATTAATTAGAAGAAAAAGAAAACGCAGCATTTATTTCTGGTGTCGAATATTATATATATCTACATGCCCATTTTCCATAAATCACAAAACAAACTAGAGTCTTGCCCATCATGGCATCAACAAGTAATCCTACTTCAAATTCAGGAGACTTGTATAGCATTGTGATGGCAACAACGAGTAATGCTGCAGCTTCAACATCAGGTTCAAAAACAATATCATCTTTCAAGAAAAAGCTAACCAAAACTGAAGTTAACGAACATAAATTCAGGTGGTACTTCAAAAAGGACGACTTTGACAATCACATAATTCCTCATTTGAAGCCGGAGGAGGTGGAGATTCTGGAAAAGTGTGATAAAGAAGAACCTCTAAACATCCCAGTTATTGACAACAATCATGGTCCAACTTTCACCATGGAGCTACTTAAGGTGCCACTGGAAACATCGTTTAGGTATCATCTCATTGGAACCTCCCCGCTAGTCATATATAAGAAACTTCGAGAAGGTCAAGAGGTAGAAATAAGTTATCGTCAATTTGATGGGCGCTCGGCTCTGAATATTTCCTATTAGTCTTAAAAGAAACGTAAATATATGATTAGGTCTTTGATAGTAAACATATAT